TTGTTAGTAATTTTGATAGAATGTTCTAGAAGGAAAAGTAGTGAGAGAGAGGGTGAAGACACTAGTTTCTAGGAATACACAGAATTAGATAGTACAGAATTCAAGAGAAAGCAATTAAGGGTAAAACCAGATATTAGTATGGGAGTGCATGCAGGTATGGTTGAAGTTGGATTTCCAGGTAAAAGTGATTGAAAGAACAATAGAGTTTAGATTGAAAGGAAACCAAAGTATTTACAAGATAAGAAGTTGAAAAGAATTGAAATAATATTTGAAGTGAAATAATATTCGAAATGAAATATTATTTGAAATGAAATATTAATTGAAATGGAAAAATTAGAAAAAAATATTTACACGCAAAAAAAACAAAAACAGTTACTTCGCCACAGTACATATTTGTACCAATTTTTAATAATTTGTATTATGTAACAAAAATTACCGTCTAGGTTCGTAAAATTTCCACAATTTTTGTGTTGTTAAAAATCTATGAAAAGCATATCTGTCGTGTATCTAAATGTAAAAATGACATTTTTTCATAGTCAAAAAAGCAAAAGCTGAAAGTGGATTGGTCAGACCCTAACGGTTCACTTTAAGATAGGAACGAAAGCCGTTGTAGAATAGATACCTACGATTACAAAGCCTCAAACTGTAACAATAATCGTAGAAAAACATACCAAAAAAAAAAAAAACGGAAACACGAATCGTCTAGTGGACTATAGACTTCGCTTTTGTATTATAAACAAGACACTTTTTTATATTCTATTTACATTTAGCACTATAACATTAAATTTTATGAACGTCATCAGCGAAATGACGCAGAATTATCGAAAGTTCAAAACATTACAAAGGTATGAAAAGAATGAATATGCTCCTAGCGACAATAAAATACTGACGATCAAGATCGTGGTGGCTATTTGAAGAACCGAAAGCTTTACAATTCTTCATAAATCCTGAGATGAATCCTCAAAATCCTCTTGCTATTCTGAATTATCTATGTATATGAAGTAAGTTATGTGAGACCTTTACAAATGCGCATGCTTAATTTTTCATTTTTTTAAGTTTTAATAATTTTAACCCCTTGTCAGCGAAGGTAAGCAAAGACCTTACCCCCCTCCGTATGCTAACATAAACATTGGTACATACCTGCATATTTTCTTAAAATCGTTATAACTTAACCATAAAACACCTCGTGAGAACGAGTGAGCATTATCAGTTATTTTGGGGAATCCCAGAACATGCGTTTTGCTCTCGAA